TATAATCTTGGTTGTGGCAATTGAAATCCTGAATAATTTGATAATGCTTGTTTATAATTTTCACGTGTAATTTGTATTTTAACATTTTTATTAATAACTGAATCTGTAGGACGTGTTTTAGGAAATTTATTTGGATAATATGTTTTTCCTTGTTTATTAACAATATTTTTAACTTGAGAATAAATTGAACCAATAACGTATGGATCTCTTTCACTACGTTTAGGAAATTTATCAAAACAACCATCTTTATTTCCACCAAGCTAGAAAGAAAAAAATATAATAGAGATTGTTTTTTTTTTACCCAAAGAAAAACAGAAATAAAATTCAAACAAACCGATTTTCCTGGTGAACTAAATTTAAATGTTTTTTTACCAGTTGGTGCTGAACTTGAACGTTGTTTTTCTTCATCACGACTTTTAATTCCTTTACCATCACCACCAAATGGATTACGATCAAAATATTCTTTTGGATGCATATTTAATTTAAATACACCAGCTTTCAATGCTGATTTATGTTGAGTATAATCTTTCTAATATGAAAAGAAAAAAAAAACGAAATTATTTGTTTTTTTTTGCAAATTTCAATTTTACTCGTTGAGCTTCTAGTAATGCATCATATTTATCTACTTTATCTTTATATGTATATGGAGGATCTTTATCAATACCTAAATTTGGATAACTATTAAAACAAAAAGAAAAAGTTCAACATCATTGAATAAGATATTTGAATAATATACCCATAACCAGTTCCTTGTTTTGGTGGAATAATTTTACAATTCGCTTTTTCTGATGGTGGCTTTGTTCGTTCACGATATTTTGATTTTGTTGGATCACTATCTTTTATAGGACCACCTATTGTTCCATAGAATGAGCCTAATCCTTCTCTAGAAGAAAAAAATAGACCATTATTTTATAATTTAAATGTTTCTCGTTAACATCAAGAATGGAACAGTGACGACAAATAACTCGCTGATAAGAGTTATTCATAAATAACTGGATGATACGAAGAATTCAATGTTTTCAGTTGGCTTTCATCAATTGGGCCGGGTTTTTTTCCGTGGTGATAGAGAACTCGTCGCAGGTTTTATTCATAAGAAATTTATGAAGAACAAGTACTATTGATCTCAATGAAGAAATACATTATAAGCCAAAAGTATCTCTAGAGGGAACTTCTTCACGTGTTAAATCGCTTTTCGGCCGAGACGGTGTTCATTTAGTAAGTAATAGAAAAGTCTGGAATGGTGGCGTTTATCGGTCCTTCATTCTGAAGATTTCGCAATCTTACTGGGTTATCAATAAAAAGCTGTGGTCCTTTTTGAGCAGAGAAGTGCGTGACCGACTTGTTTTGGTCACGGTCACGAGAAAATTTTTATTAGTCACGGTCATGGTGGAATTGTTAAAGTGTGCGCTATATTTGTTTAGAGAGGCATGAGACACCCATCGACCTAACAGTAGTGATGATTACGATGACTTGACTAATATTCATGACGATAAAATGTGATGGAAAAGATAAACAGTTGTTAACCATTTGGTGTCTATAGTTTTGCTATTGATTAGAAATTTCTAGGTTTTTTTTGTTAATCTTGTGATTGTATTTAAAATATTTGAAATAGATGAAAATCGAAGTAAAAACAAAAATTTGCAAATGTACAATTTCTAATTGACAATCGACAGTTGTTTTGCAACCCTTAGGAAAACTTGATCAAGATTACAGTCACGAACACGTTGAAAAGTTTTGGTGACAGTCATACCGTGATCGTGGCGGTCTCGCAGTTGCCTATTCTCTTGAGTCATGTAGAAAATCAACTTTCAAGTTTCAACTTTAAACTTTGCATGAACAAAGTTCTTAATGAGATTAGTTTATTACATAAGTTTTAGCTTTTCTAGTATTTCCTTTCTGGAGATGTAAATATATGAACAAAATTTGCTTTTACATATGAGAAAATTTTGAATATTCCTGTTGAAAAATCCAGTACACTTTCGATATCACAAGAACGAAGGTGCAGAAAACGCAACCATTCTAGATTTTTCTATTACTCATCAAATGAACATCGTCTCGATTGAAAAATGATTTAATATTGGGACAGGTCCCTTCGTCAGCCATTCTTAGAGTTAGATATGTTAAATTTTCTAGCTTATATATTGTCGCTATAAATTTCATCGAATTTCAATCTAGCGTTCAAAAGCTGAGCTATCATATATCGTAACTCCTCTTGAACTCAAATAATCATGACCGGACTGGTTTCTTTAGCGTATATTTCTAAGGTAGTGCATATGCTAAAAATTTTAGACATATAGCCTTAAGAATAGCTGAGATCACAAGGGGATACATTCGGCTAATAGTGTATTTCTTTATTAAAGTCAATAGTGCTAATTCAGCGATTTCCTTATGAATAAAAACTTTGAAAACTCGTCTATCACTCAGAAACAATATCAATTCGATTGCTTAAAGCAGACTGGAGATATTGAGTATTTTTATCGTCTAGTTATTTATGAACCACCTTGTATATCTTCAAGCATCACCATTGCTCACTGTATTTAAAGATGAAGCATATAATTTCAAGGTCTAGTTAGCATTGTTTTGTATGTCTCATGTTTAGCATTGGAAACTATCTATTTTAGTTATTAGTTCACGTACGGACTTCGGGCTCGATACATGCTAACAAATGGCTTTGTAACAATATTTTTCTTCTTTTCTTCAAGACGAGCTTTACGACGCATTGATATTGGATCAATATATGAACCGGGTATAATTTTAAATTCCGTATCAAAATATCCAGCCATGGATCCTGTTGATCGTTCTTTTGAGCTTTTAGACATCATCTGTTTATTCTTGTAAGCTGCTTCATTGAAATTAACTTTTAATTAAAAAGTATCGAAATAAAATATGATACATGTCGAAGATTATATTAAAACTTACCTTTGGCAGCTTCTTTATATGGATCTTTAATCGTAACATATTCCATTTCTTTGAATAGACCAATACGGTCCATGTCATCTTTTGTTGTTCCCATGATTGTTATTTAAAATAAAATAAAAAAATGAAGTAAATTTTCTTATCTCAATTTTAGAAAAGTAATGTTGCCATTATAACAATGTCTCTCAGGACAACAAACAAGGTGACTTTTTGTCTCCACATAGAGCACGCTGTGAATCAATGTTTCAATGACAAATTCAATTTGACGCATCAAAATAATCATTTAAAAACACAAAATTAAATTTTGTTCAACTAGATCCACTAATCAAGTTCAGTGAGCGAACGATGTTATAATAAAAGTGAATTAAAACCAGATCAAGTAAACACTTAAATTGTTAACTACTCTTTCATACAATCGTGTCAAGATGCTTTTGTTCCGTATAATTGCTTTCTTGAAACCTTTGAAAAACGAGTAAAAGTTTGTCTTTAAAAATGTTGCATTTGAAAGGTTCTATCAATTAAATATTACATAAAAATTAAGTTATTATTCGAAGCTCTTATTCGCAAAACGTATCGCAGCTAAGAAAGAAATAGTTAGAAGAATAAAAGCTAATGTATGTAAGAATAAGAGAATCCTAAGAAATGAATTCAAAATCAATCAGAACAAATAGTGTTATCATTTAATTAAAATAAAACATAAGTATTGAATTAATTGTAAATCACATACAAGGCTCTTGTATCTGACAGTCAATAAGACCAAAAAAATCTTACGAGAGAACACATCGCTTTTGAGTCGGCACTTTGGACATCTATACTGGTTCTAATGGGCTATGTGTATTGTGAAAAGAGTTAGTTTCCTTAGTTTCTTGTTGCGGAAATAATGCATTTTTATCGTAGTTTCTAAATGAATGTTGTGGTGCAGAAAAACTGAATTTCGAATTTCGACTTGTACTTTTGCATAGCAGCGGACATTAACGAGAGAAGCCTATTGCGTGGTTCAGATTTTTTTGATTGCTCCTATTCTGACATAAGAACATTGGGATTTGCCATTATATATGAGTTGCATATAAAACATGCTTTTACCATAGCCGTATCTGTAGATAGAAGCAATCAAAAGATTTGAAACTTTTACAATAAGTTATTTGCGTTAATGGCGCCCTCTCCCTTTTCAGGATAGATAGATCTCGATCAGTAGAGCAAAGGTTGTCTTAGATTCAAAATTTCCAAATGCTTTTTTCTATGAGATATCGCGATCACAAAGACTGAAAGTTGATCTTCCAATCGTTTCGTTTTCGTGGCTGAAACTTTTTTACACATACTAGACACCGTTTGAGGCACCTAATTGTTTCAGTTTCTGTTCATTTCCTTCTATCCGAATGAAAATATCAAAATACGAAGCGTACTCTAAAAAACACATTTTCTTTCGAAAAATCAGCAGAGCAATATTTTTCGAAACGAAAAAAAAGTAGGCATCCAAATCAGTATCTAGTACTTGTAAAAAAAAAGTTCCAATTCTATCAAATATACTGTGTCAGAGAACTGTAGATAATTCTGCACTTTGTTTGTGTCACGAAAATTGGCCGGGCTCAATGGTGTTAGAGGCCAATGACCCATGTGCTTTAACCACCTTTGAAATGAGAAATAATAATCATCATCATTAAGAGAATAATCATAGCGTGAGTTTTCTGTTAGAGATTTTTGAAAGTAGGATTTAATAAACGTAGACTCTCATTTATATGGCATTTGACAGCGGACACTTCGATGCTATGCAATCGATTAAAAACCAAGAATTGAAAAAATTTTGATTTTCATACTCGGAAAATTTTTCAAGTCAAAATTCAAAATACAGCTTCCCTGCTGTTCCTAGAGATTCATAACTTATTCGAACCTACATGATCTCGATTAAAAAGCGATTTGACTCTTAGAAACGTTCCCTTGTTAGTCTTGGTTTAACATTTAAAATAGAAAGTATGTCCTATTCAGTTGAAAGTAAACTTTATTTCATATCTTATCTTTTTTTACTCAGTCATTTCTTCATACAGATTTATTTTTTATATTTATTTTTCTATTTATCATCATTAAAGATGCAGATTGTGATCACGTATTTTTGTAAGTTTAGTCTAAACTAACTTCTATAAAATATTTGTTTATATTTAAGTTGTAATTCTATATTGCATACCTTCACTGATATCAATTAGTATTAGTCCTTGTGCGATATGGAATACGACTGGTATAACAATTGCTGGCACAGGTATATCTGGTGCTAGTCCTCAACAACTATCTTATCCTCAAGGAATTTTTATTCATGATAGAAAAAAACGTTTGTATGTGTCCGATACATTTAATAATCGTATTCAACTATTCCCACTTGATCAATCAACTACAACAGGTATTACTTTACTATCTCGTCTCTCACATGGTTATAAAATCTATGTTGATGATGATAATGATGATTTTCCGACTATATATATTGCAATGAATGGTGCTAATCGTGTAGAAAAATGGATTCAAGGTGCTACACATGGTATACAAATTGGTGATCAATGTCGTGGTTGTACAGGAGTATGGTTAGATAAAGAGAAAAATATTTATATGTCAGAACATGATAGACATCGTATTCTTAAATGGTCACCTAAAACAAATATGACTACAATGGTAGCTGGTGAAACTGACAAGAAAGGACCAAGATCAGATCATTTAAATGAACCACAAGGTATTTTTATAGATACAACTACAGAAGCATTGTACATAGCTGATTTAATAAATCATCGCATTCAAAAATGGCTAAAAGATGCCAAAGAAGGTGTTACAGTAGCTGGATCAAGTGATGGTGATCCAGGATCTGATGCTAAATCATTAGATCGACCATATGGTTTACGTGTGGATGAAGAAACAAAAACTGTTTATGTTGTTGATTTATTAAATAATCGAATTCAGCGATGGAGAAATGGTGCAATCGAAGGTGAAACTATCGCCGGTGGTAATGGTATGTAGATTGTTTTAATCGCACTTCATCAAGAAAATCATTAGTGAATATAGAATTTATACGTTTAAAAAATGTCTATGATCTAATTACTTCAGATTATACAATAACAATGAAAAAAAAAAATCAAAAATTTTGAGTCACGAAAAGGGATACCTTAAGTCGGTAATGAATAAATGTAGAAATGAAAGCGATACAGATTTTAGACTGACTGATCTGCTAGTAAATTGACCGGTCGCTGGCAGAGTGAAAAATTTATTTATATTTTTCGCTAATCATATTTAACAATAGGTCAAGGTAATGGAAGTAATCAATTTTTTCATCCAACTGATTTGGCATTTGACAATCAAGGTAATCTATATGTAAGTGAAGGTTGGAATCATCGTGTTCAATTTTTTGCTTTAATTAACAATCGTCCATGTTATGAATCATCGACATCGACAGGTAGTTCGACTATCTTCTTTTTTTCTTTTAATTTATTGTTGTATGTTTAGTATATTCTTCAACATCTACTATGCTGATTTTAACTTGGATTATAATGACCTTCATTTAATAGTAATACCAACTTTTTGTTTATATAATATTTATTTTTTTAATATAAACTATCAATATTTTATAAAATAGATTATTTTAAAAGATTGACATATTATGAGAGAAATAAATTTCGTAGAAAATTCTTGATGATCAAGTCATTGTTATTTCGTACGTATGAAAATGAATAGAACTTTGGCTGAAACCCAATTGTAAAAATTTGGAATTCACTATATGAACACGAATGTATTTGTGATATTGAAGAGAAATCATTTTAAATATTTGAATATAGTTGATCTTACTAATCAAATAATAGTTTTATATAAAAATTAATAAAAACTAAATGATGTACTTTGATTTTTCTAGATGATCATGAAAACATTTTTGTAATCATTGTACACGTACAAATCAAAACCGAACGTTATTTCATTTAATTCTTTGAGTAATAATTCCTAGTTCAAGAACGATGAAAACGTTTTTTGATTTTACTAAAATGTAGTTCTGACTCTCTTCTATCTATGATATTGAGAGATACTTTTCGTTTAAAAATTGCATCGAATACTCTAAAATGCCTTTAGATTATTTATACAAAATATGAGGGTTAACGTTTGAAAGTGTGCGCGTACTATTGAAACATACATAGAAAGACAAGAGTGAAGAAACAATGATTGTCCATTCTATCATATCTTCTATGGTTAATATTCGTCATAATCACATAAAAACATAATAATGAAAACTTAAAGGAGAAAATATCCCAAGGTTAAATATTATTCAGAAGACCCTTGCAAGAAAAATTATTAACATATTTGAGATTAGTAGACCAAAACTACATCATTGCATGCTTATTTAAAACTCGATATTTTCTCAAAAATGTCATCGAAGTCTGTTTGATTAAGAAAATGTTATTATTAGCCGCAGAACATGACGAGAACTATTTACATTCGTACAAGTATTGAGATTTGCTACTCAAATCTAACAATCTGATGAGAGGAGAAAAATAGGGACGCACAGTTTCGATTAACTGTCTATCGAATAAGTGTAGTTAGTATACACTGATCATACGGTCAATGTGAAACACTCGAACACACCGCTATAAAAAGTACATATTTTCGTAAAGTTGGTGTCTGTTATTATTTCGTCAATTTAATTACATTGTATCTTATCTTTAATGTGATGTAATTATATTTCGATAATCTCTTTATTCTACATATGGCGTGATCCTACAAGTTCATATATCAATACATACAAGCATCCATATACCTTTCTTTTTTTTTTCTTTTCTCTCGTTCTTATTCTCTTGCTGAACGTCTATATCTTGACTTTTTAATAACCTATAATAACCAATGCTAACAATGTCTCAACAATGGTGACTCATTACCAATATTTTACATGAACTATGCATATGCCTAGAGAAAAAAAAAACGTTTGAGTCTATTCTAGCTTAAGAATTATCAAGCTAGGATACGCTTGAGCCTACTCAAGCTTTGCGATTCTACTGCCTATGAATCAAAGGATTAATATTCGAGAAAGAAAAATCAAAATTTCTATCTCCATAAAAATATATCTAAATTATGATTAATTTAATTCATTAGGGATGCCTCCCCCTTTTCGAGACTTCTGAAAAACGGCTCATTGGAAAATTTTGAAATTTTTAAAGTGGGTAGCTCTCGACAAATAGAGCAAAAGATATCCTAGACCTAAAATTCTCGGATACTATCTTCTATGAGATACTGAGATCACAATGATCCAAATGTTTGTCCCTGTTTCGCCTAGATGGTATGTTCAATCGAGCTGAAAATTCTTTTACCGGCACTAGATATTGTTTGGAAGGAAGTATCTTTTTATTTTTGTCTTTCGAATAAAAAAAAAACAAAATATCGAAGATACTCTAAACAAGGCATGTTTTTTTGAATAGAGTTTCTTTTTGTAAGAGCTACCAAAAGCCAACAGAACAATGCTTTTTGAAACAAAAAAAAAACTACGCATCCCAAATAGTATACACGATACGTGAAAGAAGTTGCGACTTGATCGAACGTACTAGATCGGAGAAGTGGGGACGTTTCTGCACTTTTTCTTTTCATAAAAAAGTTGGTTTGAAAAAAGCGCTATTCGCTATTTTCGTTAAATAAATTTGAATCTTTTCTAAGCTTTTAACGTTTAAAACCAATTTTCAGATTTCAAAATGTACTCAATGAATACATACCACTTCAGACTATATTATGGTCTTAAAACTTAACATTCAAAACAAACACTCTTTTAAAAACTATTAAGAAGAATTACATTGAAATTTATCATACATCCAAGAATATTAACAAATCAGTCAAATCTCAATATAATGTTTCACAAACGATAGTCTTCTTCTTCTTTTTATCATAAAAATCTGAATTAAAATTTTTAAATTTTTTGTTTCTATTATTATTCAATATTTAAAAGAAAGAAAAAAAAAGATTGTAAAACGCGAATAAAACAAAAACGAAAAGAAACAAAGCATCAGTGATACTTTTAAAATGACAGATAAATATTATTAAAAAAAAAAAGAAAAACGAGTTTCATACACACATAGCTACAAATTGAATAATTATATAATCAGCGATTGTTGCTATATTTTGAGAGAAAAAAAAATCGATAGATCTATAAATTCACACATCATTTTTTTCAATCAAATGAATAAGAAAAACAGACTAAAAAGAAAACGAACGAATAGAACACAAAGAATGTGATGTTACTGATAGAATTTTTCAAAGAAAAAAAACATTGATACATACAGACACACTGTCATTCATTACAGATATGCGTTCTGGAATTTATCAGAAGATGAAGTAACAGATAACAGCAATAAGGAATGTTCAAGCACCAAAAAAAAAAAAACAAACTACTGCTCAAACAAGAATGATTTGTTTGTTTCTCTTGCAAAATCTATATACAAAAAAAAAAACATGTATTTGTAGCACGCCATTTTTTTCATCAGCTTCTTAGAAGAAGGAAAAAACACAAAAACAAAAACAAAAAGAACAAAACATATGCTAATTTTTTTTTCATATCAACAGAAAAAAAAAATTTGAAATATCTGATCTGAGGAAAAAAAAAAGAAATATATGTATCAATACACTTAATTTATGACATAATTTGTTTTTTCATATCATTCCATTCATCTTCAATACAAACAAAACTTCGTTGTAATAATTCCATTTGTTGCATGAGAGAATTTTGCATAGCTAATGTTACAGCAAATTGTTGACGAAATACCGTTAAACGTTGTTCAAATTTTTGATGAGTTGACAACTAGAAAATAAAAAGAGTTGAATTACAACTATCGAACAAAAATAGCATGTCAAAACAGAATTCATGCTAAGTGTAAAAAAAAATGACATTGAGATCTAAATTTCAAATTTATAATAACCAGGAGTGTTCCGAGATCGCCAGGGTGCGTTTTTTTTGGAAATTTGTGAGAAAGAAAAACAGCACGCTAAACCTCCGCTGGAGAAAAAAAGAACATTTTTCAAGATTGGAAGGTCACTCTTGACATTAGCAGTATTAGTTGCAATCAGATTTATAGCAAGACGTCGGATCGAAACTGAAAATCGAACTAACTATTATATATTACTTTCTGTTTAATTAGAGTTCGAAGACGGAATTTCAGCATCCTTACCATCTAAATGAAAAAAGAAATCAAACGTACATTCTTGAAAGATCTTACTATCATATAAAATTTCCTGTAATCTTATTATACGATTTAGCATACGATTTCTGAGATTATGATTTTTTTCATATGTTTTTTCGTCTGATATTACAAGATTAGAAGTACGGTATTGTAAGATTTTACTGCCTGATTGTTTGATCTGAGTAGAAGTGAATCTAACAAGTGAAGTCCTCCAACTGATAAATTCCTTTTGAGTTGAGACTATGCAGGTCAAAATGAGCGAGAAATACCTTAAAAAGATGAAATTATTGCAGTTGTAGGGTATTTTTTTAAATGAATGTCGTGGTTCAGAAAAATTGATTTTTGAATTTTGCATAGAGACAGGTCTTTTTCAGTTGCTTCTATCCTCAAATTTCGAGCATAATTAGGGAAGGAATAGCAACAAGGTCTAAAACATTCACAATCAACTACTCTCGTTAAGGTCTGTCTTTATGCAAAAGTGTTTGCTGAACCACGGCATTTATTTAAAAAATCTCGTAATAGTGCAGTATTTCCGCAGCGATAAACTAAGAGTACGAGCTGTTTTTTTTGAGAGTATTCATAGCTCATTTGGATTCATATAATCTTGAATCAAAATTGATTTTATCAGTTGGAAAATTTTTCTCGTACGACTGATTTTTCGGGTTGTTAATATAGACGCTGTTTTTCAGTTAATAATGAACAGATTAAAATAAAAAGAGGTTAAATAAGATATTGGTAAATAATATTATTAATTTACCTGTTGTTGATCTTTAATATGATTATTGCTTGCAGATGTTTTAATAGCTGAAAAAGTACGTGATGAAAAATTATCATTAATTGTTGAAAATTTGAATTTTTCTTGTTTACATTGATTATTTGAATTATTTGTTAATAATGATTGAATACTGTTCATTGTTAAAAGATTATGATTTCCAGATGTTGCTGTTGTTGGTGATTGTTCACGTATAGGTAATGTAAGATTTGAATGAACTAACGAATGATCATATGATGAAAGTGAGGGTGATTTATTAATTGTATTATTTGATGATAGATTTGAATTTGATAATGATGATGTTGCTAAATGATTTGATGATGGTAGTGACGGTGGTGGTTGCATTGAACCTAAAAATTTTTTACGATATTTTCTAACAATATTTTGATATTTTCTATTGGCTGCTTGTTGAAGTATATTTGATTGTTGAGAATGTGTTTGATGTTCATTTGTTTGATTTATATTTGATGATGAATGATCTGGACTAATAAGAAATGAATTTGTTGTAAGTTTATCATCATTACCATTTATAATTGTATTTGGTGTTGATGATGGTGTTGCATAACGATTACGTGCTAAACGTAAAAAT